CGTAAGAATTCTAGCCGCAGCCTTTCTCGAATGTGAGCCGGTGCGAGAAGAACGGAGTTTGGCTGACAAGGGGAACTTACGGACCTGCCGCCTCCGATTGGGCTGAATTTTTTTTTACAGACTCTATGGACCAATTCTAGAGGTCAATTTGAGCCGTTTTCCCGAATGCGCAATAGGAAGGGCGTAAAAAATTTCCAAAAGTTGCGTTTTCGGCGCGTGATTTGGTCGTGCGGCGCGTGGCAACACTGAAGCAGCCTCTAGTACCGCTTTATCGCACCTCGTACTCCAGCGAACGCCGGAGCCCCACTGCTCAGGAGCTGGCTTCGTAACTGCGGCGCACGGGTTCGAATCCCGTCTCGTCTCTTAACTTTTTATTTTCTGCATGATCACGTAATCATTTTATTTTTATTCTACCCTTTCTTTTTCTTTTCTGCATGATCACGTAACATTTTATTTATAATTCTTCATCCATATTTGTAAATCAAGCAGTTCCGATAACTACCCCCCGCCCCCTTATTTTACGTACATTTTCCCCCCGATATTTACTCAAATTGACCATCAATAACCGTATGAAACTTATTTGACATAAATTAATGAATTAAAAAGGAAAGGGCCAAAATAATGTGTTTCTTGGCAGCCCTTGCATGCACATGGGTTTGAGGTGCTTGGATATTGCTTCAGCCCAAAAAACTAGATTGCCGATGAGATACCGAGGAATCTAGATTATCCTATCTTTCGCAGCTTTTATCTTCCGGACCTCGGTCGACGTATTAATGACCATTCAATTGTTTTGAAATGATCTGCGATTCAACCATGTTCCTGAAGATGAGCATGATTTTCAGTGATCATTTCGGCGTTCAAGCACTCACACGGGAAAGTAATGGATATCGTCTCCTCATCCTCGCGTTGTGACGAAAGTTTCGTCTCTTCGTCGACATTTTCAGAGCCCTGTGCTTCGTCATCCCAGTGTAAAGAAGTGTGTGAAAGTAGTGATATCGCGGACGGATTTTTTTGGTGCGAAAAACTCTTGCGCGAAAAAAAAATTTTGGTCGGACAAAATCGTGGTCAGTGTTCGGAGCGAGGAAAGCTCATCGGCGAGAAATTGGCTGAAAATTTCAGCGTCGTGATCGAACAGTACCAGTTTCAAATTGAATCGGAGCTTTTTTTTACCGATGAAAAAGAGGATGGTCCTGGCTTTTTCTCTGAAAACGTAAGTGACGGTGCGGCAAGTGACGACTGTGATTCGGGGGATCCGGACAGTGACGGCGAGGACGAAGATAAATCGGATAATGACCTCAATTTTTCGGAGGCCAGGAATGCACAGTGCAACCCTGTTGTGTCGTTCGAACTAAAGAAAAAAGTTGTTGATTTGGCGGAGTTGCACCCTAAATGGGGGCTGAAAACGTTACAAAGTAAGTGCGCGTTTCTGAAAAGTGCGCGTCAATTGCGTCTTTGGAAAAGCCAAGTTAGTGCGGGGCTGCAGAAAACAAACTATGAAAAGTTTACTCTCGTGAATGACTTTACTTTTCAAAAGTTTAAAGAAGCCCGGGCTTCAAGGCGGCCGGTCACGAACAGGAACATTCAGCAATGGGCTATCGATGCTGTCAATTCGTTAGAAAACGCGGATAGTGTTCCCTTCAAAGCCTCTCAGGGTTGGGTCGACAAATTCAAAAGGAAGTACAAAATTCGGCAAAGAAAGGTAACGCGGTACCTCAAATCGAAAAATGAACTCGATGATGAGGAAATTGTTGTGCGCGCTGTTTCTTACATGCTCGAGGCAAAAGACTTGGCGAGGCAATACAGTCCGGATTTCGTGCTCAACAGTGATCAAACGGGGTGCGAATACCGTTTTAAAGTTGATCGGACCCTCTCAAACCAGGGGGAAAAAAGTACCGAGATGTTTTTGGGCAACTTTAACAAGGTAACCCACTCTTACACGGCCCAGTACTGCATGACGGCATCGGGAAAACTTTTGCCAAAGGTGTTTTTGTGCATGCAGGAGAAAGACTATAAGTTCGGGCCTCTCGTTCAAAAGAAAATCGACGATCTCGCGGAAAGGCTACGCAATGTGTACGTTACCTCTTCAAAATCGGGCAAGCTCACGAAGGAGCATGTGAAAGTTTTCTCCGAGCACATACTTAAACCGTACGTTGAAGGAAATGATTTTCTGTTGATTCTCGACTCTTGGGGGGGTCAAAAAGATTCGACGGTACTCTTTGACCCTTTTTTTGTTAAAGAAACTGGTACGTCTGCGTGCCTTCTTTCGATTATTCCACCTCTGTGCACCAAATTTTGCCAGCCGTGTGATGTGTTTTTTTTCCGGCAAGTTAAGGCAATAATGAAGAAATTTCAGAATTGTGCAGTTCTTTTCGGAGAAAAACGCGAGCTTAATTCAAGGGAGGACGCAATTAAACTCCACTCAATTGTCCATCACCAGCTATCGGGAAAGCCCTTCATAAATATGATAAAATCCGCGTGGAAGCAAGCAGGTCTCGTTGACTTTGACGAGGATATTGAATTTGATACGGCTAGTAAAGTATGTTTCCCTGAATCTCTTTTCCGCCAGAAGTGTTTTAAGGAAAATTGTAATAAGAATGCTTTCATTTGTTGTGCGCGGTGTCGGAAGAATGTGTGTTTTCACTGCTTCTATGACAGCTTTCACCCTGAGAGTTGCAGCCAATAATCTTTCAATTATTTTTTAATTTATTTTTTAATTTCACTTCTCATTGCGTTTTCTTCTTTTTCTTATCAAATTTGTCCCAAGTGCTTTTGCTTTTGCTTCAGCTTCAGACTTTTTTTTTTTACCTCGATCGATCTTTAGAATTTTTTTAGTCAAAACAGTGCGGGTTTTTCTTTAATTCTAGTTGTTCCCCCTTATTCAATCACGCTTTTCGCTTATTCTGCAACAAACGCTTGTGTCATATTTCTACTTTTCTTGTAAACTGCCGACTTCAGCTCTCACCTGCTCAGCAAATTTCCGCAATATCTTCCCTACGCTTCTTGAGTCAAGTCTCATCTCATACCACTTCACCCAATAAATTGACAAAATGGTGAGTTTCACTTTACACATATTCGTTACCCATGATTGGTTAAATAATCAGGCTCGTCACAAGGGGCACGTGAATAACTCATTTTCGTGGTATGAAAAATCTTGGGACGCCGAATTTCGCAGCGTTTTTTATTTATTTTTTTTTCTTTTATTTCAAAGCGCCTTTCAGGTGTTCTTTTTATTCTTTTTAAAAAGAAGAAGAAAAAGACGTAATCGAACGCATTCCTTTTCGATTTATTTACACGTTACATATTTTTCCAGGAAAATATCGGGAGGTAATGTAGGAACAAATAAGGTTTTGTTTTCCTTTTAAATTCATTAATTTGTGTCAAATAAGTTTCATACGGTTATCGATTGTCAATTTGAGTAAATATCGGGGGGAAAATGTACGTAAAATAAGGGGGCGGGGGGTAGTTATCGGAACTGCTTGATTTACAAATATGGATGAAGAATTAAAAATAAAATGTTACGTGATCATGCAGAAAAGAAAAAGAAAGGGTAGAATAAAAATAAAATGATTACGTGATCATGCAGAAAATAAAAAGTTAAGAGATGAGACGGGATTCGAACCCGAGCGCCGTAGTTACGAAGCCAGCTCCTGAGCAGTGGGGCTCCGGCGTTCGCTGGAGTACGAGGTGCGATAAAGCGGTACTAGAGGCTGCTTCAGTGTTGCCACGCGCCGCACGACCAAATCACGCGCCGAAAACGCAACTTTTGGAAATTTTTTACGCCCTTCCTATTGCGCATTCGGGAAAACGGCTCAAATTGACCTCTAGAATTGGTCCATAGAGTCTGTAAAAAAAAATTCCGCCCAATCGGAGGCGGCAGGTCCGTAAGTTCCCCTTGTGAGAGGCGGATTTCTTGCCAACGTTTGTGAATGATCGAATATAGCTGTGCCCCCGTT